CCCCTTCTGGCTTACAGGTTGAACTGCACAAACCAATACAAAACCTGCGGATACAAGTGCAGTGCCCCGGGGAACAAGGTAAGTTTCCTGAGCGAGCCCTTCACGGTCCCAGCCCCACAGGAGGCAGTGAGATGCGCACACACAGAGCACATCATTGCCAAAAACAGCATTTAAGAAAGCCTCTTCACAAAAGGGTAGCTATACCCGAGGAACTCAGAGTCTTTGCCGCTGAAAGAACCTAGACCCCAAACCAAATAAACCCACACAACAAACATTATAGTCACATCAGCAGCAGGGAAAAATCCCATCCACATGAAAGTAAATTCAAAAAGAAGAAGCAATAGTTTATGCAGATGAGAAGGGTCCAGAGAAACAGCTCTGGAATTCTGGAGAAAAGTATTACGACAGCCCTAGAAGATCACACGGACTCTCCAGCAGTGGAGCCTAACCAAAATGAAATATATGAACTATCAGATAAACGACTCAAAATATTGATTTTAAAGAAACTCAGTGAAATCCCAGAAAAGGCAGAAAGCCAACAAAAATGAATGAATATATGAATGGAAAATTTACCACAGAGATAGATATTTTAAGAAAGAAATAAGGAGTTGCGGACAAAATAGCCAGATATAAACAGCTCCGGTCCGCAGCTCCCAGTGAGATCAGTGCAGAAGGTGGGGGATTTCTGCATTTCCAGCTGAGGTGCCTGGCTCATCTCATTGGGACTGGTTCGACAGTGGGTGCAGCTCACAGAGGGCGAGTAGAAGCAGGGTGGGGTGTCACCTCACCTGGGGGAACTCCCTGCCCTAGCCAAGGGAAGCCCTAAGAGACTGTTTCATGAGGAATGGTGCATTCCGGCTCAGATACTACGCTTTTCCCATGGTCTTCACAACCCACAGACCAGGAGATTCCTTCGGGTGTGTACACCACCAGGGTTTCAAGCACAAAACTTGTTGGCCATTTGGGCTGAAGCCAGTGAGCCAAGTGGTCTAGCTAGAGGATCTCACCCCCATGAAGCCCAGCAAGCTTGAAATTCTCACTGCCAGCACAGCAGTCTGAAGTCAACCTGGGGCAGTGGAGTTTGGTGGGGGGAGGGTCATCCACTGTTACCGAAACTTGAGTAGGCAGATTTCCCTCACAGTGTAAATAAAGCCACCAGGAAGTTAGAACTGGGCAGAGCCCACCACAGCTTAGCAAAGCCGCTGTAGCCAGACTGCCTCTCTAGATTCCTCCTCTCTGTGCAGGGCATCTCTGAAAGAAAGCAGCATCCCCAGTCAGGGGCTAATAGATAAAACGCCCATCTCCCTGAAACAGAGCACCTGGGGGAAGGGCTGCTGTGAGCACAGCTTCAGAAGACTTAAATGTTCCTGCCTGCTGGCTCTGAAGACAGAAGCAAATCTCCCAGCACAGCCCTTCAGCTCTGCTAAGGGACAGACTGCCTCCTCAAGTGCGTCCCTGACCCCCATGCCTCCTGACTGGGAGACACTTCCAAGCAGGTATGGACAGACACCCCATACAGGAGAGCTCCAGCTTGCATCTGGCGGGTACCCCATACAGGAGAGCTCCAGCTGGCATCTGAGACGAACCTTCCAGAGGAAGGAACAGGCAGCAATCTTTGCTGTTATGCAGCCTCCACTGGTGATACCCGTGCAAACAGGGTCTGGAGTGGACCTCTAGCAAACTCAAGCAGACTTGCAGCAGAGAGCCCTGACAGAAGGAAAACTAACAAACAGAAAGGAAGAGCATCAACATCAACAAAGAGGACATCCACATAGAAATCCCATCCTAAGGTCACCAACGTCAGAGATCAAAGGCAGATAAATTCATGAAGATGAGGAAAAACCAGTGAAGAGGCTAAAAATTCCAAAAACCAGAACACCTCTTCTCCTCCAAAGGATCACAACTCTTTGCTGGCAAGGGAACAAACCTGGATGGAGAATTAGTTTGATGAATTGACAGAAGCAGGCTTGAGAAGGAAGGTAATAACAAACACCTCTGAGCTAAAGGAGCATGTTCTAACCCAATGCAAGGAAGCTGAGAACCTTGAAAAGTGGTTAGAGAAATTGCTAACAAGAATAATCAGTTTACAGAAGAACATAAATGACCTGGTGGAGCTGAAAAACACAGAACGAGAACTTTGTGAAGCATACAAAGTTCAAAAAAAAGTGGGGGGGGGGACTCTTGGGCCCCAGCTCCTGCTGCACCCAGTGGAAGGGCCAACGTGGACCTTGGTCCCACAGCATCCCGGACTCTGGGAAGCCTGGAGCTCTGCAGCAGTGCCTGATTCAGCGCCAGGGAAGAGGTGCCGGGGCAGGAATTCGCGTGGGGGCAGAACTCTACTAACTTCAGCAAGGGCAGCATAGGGGTCATTATGCTGCAAAAGAGCACCAGCAGGTCCATGACATTCTTGACGTGGACGAGCCAATCAACAAAAGATTATTTGAAAAATCCTTGAAGGATGAAAGTGGACTCAAAGATCCCTCCAGTGACTGGGAAATGTCACAGTCTTCAATAAAGAGTTCGATTTGTCTTCTCCCTGGGAAAAATCTATGATGCTGTAGATAACCAAACCCTTGCTAGCTACAGCTACAGAGAAGTTTTGAAGCTCGATGTCTACTGTTTTGAAGCATTTGATCTTTTAACATCACACGTGTTGACAGCACAAGAAGAAAAAGAACTTATTGAATCGCTACCTCTCAGCAAGCTCTGTAATGAAGAATAGGAATTGCTGCATTTTCTATTTGAAAACAAATTTAAAAATATATAAGAAGCCTAGTGAAACAGTCATCCCTGAGTCTTGTAAAATGGCTTACAAGAGAATCTGGATGTGGAGGTGTCTTTAGCTGAGATATTATTATAATTGTATTTTAAAATGTGCTGCAAGCTTACTTCTGTAGTGATGGAGAAAGATCCTTTCCATGCAAGTTGTTTACCTGTACATATAGGGACACTTGGAAAGCTGAATAAAGCCTTTTTATAGAAATAAAACTTTTCTATATTTCTAACTGGTGGATTTATAGCCTAGTAATCCTGTGTCTTGGTCTGCAGTGGGATGTTGCCACCTCATGGTTGGTCATTAAAATGAACGTGCCACAAGATATCTCGGCAAAGCCACACACTTGAGATGATCTACGGACCTGCATGGGTAGCCTGCGGACATTCACTTGTGGTGGAGAGTGAGCATGACCAAGCGATGGCCGCTTACTTCACAGCAGCACAGCTGATGAAAGGGTGTTGTTTGCCTATGTGGTATATTGGATTGGAATATGGTTTGACCAATAACTCAAAATGAGCTGAAAGGTTCTTCAGCCAAGCTCCAAGCATTGCACCAAAAGACCTTTTTGTTATGCATGAGGTCGGAGTGGTTGCATTTCAGAATGGAGAACGGCAAACAGCTGAAAAATGGTTTCTTGCTGCTTTGGAAAAAAGTAAAGCAATTGGGAATGAGGTAACAGTTGACAAACGGGAACCTTTGTTGAACAACTTGGGGCATGTCTGCAGAAAACTTAAAAAGTTCGCCGAGATCTTGGACTACCACCGTCAGGCTCCGGTGGTGATTCCTCAGAATGCATCCGCCTACTCTGCTATCGGATACATCCACAGTCTGATGGGCAGCTTTGAAAATGCTGTGGACCACTTCCACACAGCCCTAGTCTTAGGCGAGTTGATACGTTTTCTGTTACAACGCTTGCTCATTGCATCGAAATGAACATTGGTGATTCTGAAGCTCATATCAGAGCAGACATTAAAGACAAATTAAAATGTTACGACTTTGATGTGCAGACAATGAAGACACTAAAAAACATGATCTCACCTCCCTGGGGTTTCAGGGAAGTGGAAGTAGAAAAACAGACTGCAGAAGAAACAGGGCTTACTCCATTGGAAACCTCGAGGAAAACTCCTGATTCCAGACCTCCCTTGGAAGAAACCATTGAAATTGAAATGAAAGTGACATGATGTTAGAGACACCTGTGTCAGTGCACAGCACGTGACTCCAGTCAGTGCTCCTGGTCCCGCTGTCCCACTGTAGGAACAGAGACCCGCCTTAGGAGATTGGATCTCACACCTTTGCAACAGATGTGTTCTGATTTCTGAACCTGCAAAATTGTTAAACATAGTGGAATAAAGAAGTGTCCCACTGTAGGAACAGAGACCCGCCTTAGGAGATTGGATCTCACACCTTTGCAACAGATGTGTTCTGATTTCTGAACCTGCAAAATTGTTAAACATAGTGGAATAAAGAAGGTAAACAATTTTTAAAATGCCCTTTTTATTTTTCATTTTTTTATTGCTGTTAATTCAAGGAAAAAAGGTTGCATAAAATCCAATCTGTTCTAGAAATATCAGTGGCCTTTCCAGTACATAACATTTCTTTTTTTGTTTGTTTGCTTGTTTTTGAGATGGAGTTTCGTTATTGTTACCCAGACTAGAGTGCAATGGCACGATCTCGGCTCACCGCAACCTCCGCCTCCTGGGTTCAGGCAATTCTCCTCCCTCAGCCTCCCAAGTAGCTGGGACTACAGGCGCGCACCACCATGCCCAGCTAATTTTTGTATTTTTACTAGAGACAGGGTTTCACCTTGTTGACCAGGATGGTATCGATCTCTTGACCTCGTGATCCACCCACCTCGGCCTCCCAACGTGCTGGGATTACAGGCGTGAGCCACTGCGCCCGGCGGACATTTCAAATATCAAAGTATATGGTAAACATACAAATAAGGGGAAGGTAACATACCTCCTATGTACAGTATTTTAAGTCATAAAATAAGCTCCATAAAGCACAACTGGCAAGTGATTCACAACGCGGCCCATACGTGGTTTTATCAAAACTTCCACTTGAATCACTCAACTGCAGCTTAACAATTAATTTAATGTGGTCCAAAAATACCCAGATCAAATAAAATACATTTAATGAAAACAATTTTTTTTACTCAAACTTTCTTTCTAAATTAAAGCTTTCATCTACCCCTTCACACCCACCCCTTCCCCATAACCCCCACCGCTGAAAGAAAGTTTCAAAATGTACATTGGTGCTATAAATCTAAATGCTACTTATGAAGCATGAAATCAAGCTTCTTTTTTCTTCAAGTTTTTCTCTTGCCTAGCAATCTGTTAGGCTTCTGAAACAAGACCAAACGTTTAGGTTCCTTTGCGGCATACCAACATTACCCCACACAACCAAAATCTATCATTTCTGCTCTGTGTTGAGGAATGGAAAAATGAAAACCCCCAACCCCTTAACCCCTAGGACCATACAGTGGAAGCTGTTCATTGCTGATGAATGCAGCAGTCACCAAAAAATACACCCAATCTTCCAGATAACCTCAGTGCACTTCAGGAAATCAAAAATTACCTGGAAGCAATTTAGTACATAGATTGGCTTTTTAAAAAAACTTTGGGAGGCCGAGGCAGGTGGATCACGAGGTCAAGAGATCGAGACCATTCTGGTCAATATGATGAAACCCCGTCTCTACTAAAAATACAAAAAATTAGCTGGGCATGGTGGCGCGTGCCTGTAATCCCAGCTACTCAGGAGGCTGAGGCAGGAGAATTGCCTGAACCCAGGAGGAGGAGGTTGCGGTGAGCCGAGATCGTGCCATTGCACTCCAGCCTGGGTAACAAGAGCGAAACTCCGTCTCAAAAAAAAAAAACAAAAAAAAACAAAAAACTTGTTTTTAAAAACAGCAGCATTAAACTTAGTGACATGACACCAACGTGATCGATACCATCTTAACACACTCAGAATTCAGTCTTTCACATTCTAATCAGGCATATTGGTAAACTGTTTTTTTTTTAATTTTTTGACAAGTTTATTGAACAGTATTCAAGACTTCATCTTTATAAACAAAAACCTCTGCTGAATGATGCTACGGCAGTAGCAGCGTTGTGGCCATATTGGCAACAAGCCATTTTATTGTGTTTGGTTTCTAAAGTCTGGACTACTATAGAACCGCCAGTAAAACAATTGAAATGTGGCAATTTTGCAAGGGTGGAAAATAATTTTTAAAGTGACCACTTCCAGAAATTCTTTCCAAAAAATTTGATTAGCAGCAATTTTACATTTCTTTACTCATTTCCCGAGTATTCTTAAAATAGATGAGATTTTATTTTTACACACTTGACCCATACCTGTACACACTCACAGACTCCAGTAAAAGGGAGCTGGAGTTTAAGGCTTTCACGCATCCTTATTTCTATGCATGATTGACTCTTTCCACCTAAAAATGTCTGTTTGCTTACTTCCATATAGTCCTAGATTTTCATCCAGTGGGTTAAGTCTGCCCTTAACTATACTGAATATTAATTACTATCTTAAATTTTAAATAAAAAGTTTCCTAATGGAACTTTCATTGTTGATGCTTTGACCACTTGGAGTACAAAGCTAGGAACTACATTTCACTTAACACCGTTTCATTTTTTAAAAAGCCACTAATAATTGTATATCCAAACTACAGTGTAAACACAGAACACACCTCCAAATTATGCTTGTGAATTAAATGTTTCACTAAAGAAAAGTTTACAGATTTGCTTATTTGTGACATACATTTGTAGATTTCTCTAATCCTTTAAATCAAAAGAAAAATGAACACCAATTAAAAAAAATCAGAAAAAAATTAAACCTAATGGAAAATATTCTCTTCCATTAATGTCGGAATCACCAAAAACAGACAATAAAATATACACATAAAATTGAAAATATCATGATAGGTTTACAAATGCACACAACTTTGAGCAAAGCTTTACAAATCCTTCATACCATACAAAGCAAATGAGAAAATAATGTAAATTCATTCCTACCCCAAACCTAGTTCTCAGGAGAAAATTCGCAGGAAGAGAGGTATGAATAGTTTCACAGAATACATTTTCAAGAACTTTTTAAAAACTGAAACTCTAACACCCAAAACAAGGTAAACAGTGTCCTTAGCAGTTAGCACTGTTAATAAGTCTCAGATACACAAAAATCAAGTTCCAGAGGGCAAAGCATTTAACACATTCCATAACGAGCACTGTTGTGATTCATATAAAACAGAGTTCTCTCCAATTTCTACACAAACTGCTCTTAATGTACCTAATTAGATGAACAATGAAATCAAGTTTCCCTTTTCGGCATTTATCTAAGATGAACTACATCTTAGTTGCAATAAAGTGTATGAAATATTTAATAAGAATGTATGAACATATAGCCAAAATAAATCGTGAAAAAGATAAAAGACTTTCATCTTCTAACAACCCATTTTTCTAAAATGAAAATAGCTTTCCAATGGGGAAAATATCTGTGGTGGAAATATGACTCTCAAGCAGTGCTGAAGTTTTTCGCATCGATACATGATTATTTAACAGAAACTTAAACAGCATATACAAACGTTATGTTGCTTTTTAAGCTGAGGAGGCAGTATCTAGTGATCTGTCAAAGCCAATTTGTATTCATGAATTATCCAAAGACCCACAACGCAGTCACCTCTTCTTGAGTCTAAACAATCCTTCCCTCAAACAGAAATCCTGTACTGTCAATCCTCTAAGATTGCAGTGATTGAAAAGCCTTTCCAAATCTTATCAAAAGACACTGTTGCCGCTCTTAACTCTAAATTACACCGCTGTATGTCAGTGTTCAGACTCCCAGCACCAAAAAGGCACTGTATATATATGTATATATTTTAATAGGAAATACTTACTTTAAAAGACTAACCCCTTTGTATGTACACTGACTTGTAGGAAATGTTGGGGATGTTTCAAATCAAGGCAAAGGAGCCATTAAAGATAAATTGTCTTTCATGATATCTCACCTATCTTCCCTTCTGTATTGTTTATAATGTAATGTGACATATCTTCAGAGCATTTTCACCAGGGAAACTAACCATAATTAGAGCATTTAATGACAGTGAGAAAATGTGTTTTGCATACCATCTCACATATCTCCCCTTCTGTATTGTTTATAATAAAATGTGACACATCTTTAGAGCACTGACTAGGGAAAGTAGGCATAATTAGAGCCTTGTAAGGCAAGTGTTTCCATGAGAAGGACACTTAACCATCCAGAACTCATGTGATCCTCCTGCTTTAGTGTCCTGTAAGCCAAAGAAGAGAATGAAAGGGTCAAGAATGTCCATTTTCTCCCCTCTGGCAGCTGCACTTTTACTCTGTATGAAGGATTTTAGTAAACAGGCCCTTGATCGAACAACTATAACAAAAAGCCTAACTAACACATATCAATCTATGAAGCAGCATATGGACCTTTTCTTCTCTAATACTATTGCTAACAATTATAATTTCAAATTCTGTTTTAAAAACCTAGATATAACACTCTTTCCTATGAATGGGCCCCTCTTTTACTTAAAGGCCAAAATTTCACATAAATTGGGACAGGAGAAAATTGATAGTACACTAAGTCCATCATGGATAGGGCTTCAAATCCAGTGTCTTCAACACATTATTAAAAGTGGCTTCTGGTTTTGATTCGATCCAAGCAACATGAACAGTTTTTAAACTATCCTGAAACACGGCAGTCAAACCAGAAAGGCCCTGGTAGGTAAAGGACTCCGTAGTTCATTTTTATGGCAAAAGTCTCACTCCACACAGTTTTAAGTATGACATTGGAAATCAAAGTTCGAGGTTATAGCACAAACCAAGTGTGGACTTTTATATTTAGGAAAAAACACAACAAAACAGTTCTGCTCATTTACAAATGAGTCAATTAGACAAAGCAGCAACTTCTGAAGCAGGACTGTCCATACAGCAGGGACCCTCAAGAAGCAATAAAGGTACATACAACGAATCTGTATACAGAAATTGTATTCAGTTTTAAAAGAAAACGAGGACTTTAGACAAAGCTTTACCCTGTAACAGTCAATCTGTCCAGCTTTAAACCAAATTCTGAGAGTAGCCAACTTCTATTTTTCAGCAGCTGGCAAGAGCACCCTCAATGAGTTCTGCTGACATTTCTATTTTCATCACCCCATATGGTATAAAACAAGACCAATCTAGACTCCTTGACAAGCTGCATGTGGTCATTTGAGTTTTACAAATGGTTTCTCTGTGGTATGCCAAAATCATTCATGTGTTCCCTCCAGATAGCTTTACTGTAACATACAGCAATGTTTATCCTGGTTAGTGAGTCTTCTACAAACAGTCAACCAATGCTGTATGTTATGGAAACCAAGCTATATGCAATTGAAACAATCCACAGGTTCTAACCTGGAAATACTAGGAAAACAATCTGGACGCATTAATCACAGCAGTATGAAGATCTACCATATAAAGAATGAAGTGAATGGCTACCCTAATACAAGTTTCACTTTTCTGGAACCTACAGGCCTGTCATTCAAGTCAATGACAGCAGCTGTGGCTTCATCCCGAGACCCAAAGGCCACCATGGCTTCACCTGTGGGTATACCCTTTTCACTGTACTTTAAACACACTGAACCTGGGATTACTTGACAGCCATAAAAGAAATCTAAAATCTCATCAATAGACACAGCAAAGGGCATGTTCTGGACTTTAATTACTGTCGGTCCTGGTTTTCCAGAACTAGATGCAAAGCCAGGGGGACCACCAATATGGATTGGGCCAGGGCCAGGCCCAAAAGCTGGTGGCCCACTCAAATGCCCAGGGGCATTTCCAAAACCAGGAGGGCCACTTCCAAAGCCAGGGGGACCACCAATATGGATTGGGCCAGGGCCAGGCCCAAAAGCTGGTGGCCCACTCAAAGGCCCAGGGGCATTTCCAAAACCAGGAGGGCCACTTCCAAAGCCAGGGGGACCACCAATATGGATTGGGCCAGGGCCAGGCCCAAAAGCTGGTGGCCCACTCAAATGCCCAGGGGCATTTCCAAAACCAGGAGGGCCACTTCCAAAGCCAGGGGGACCACCAATATGGATTGGGCCAGGGCCAGGCCCAAAAGCTGGTGGCCCACTCAAATGCCCAGGGGCATTTCCAAAACCAGGAGGTCCACTTCCAAAGCCAGGGGGACCGCCTAAGTTACCAGGGCCATTTCCAAAATTCTGAGGGCCCCCTCTAAATCCCGATGGCCCACCTAAGTTGTTTGGTCCACCTCCAAAACCCGGAACCTCCAATCCTAGACCAGGCAAACCACTGTTTCCAACTGAAGGCATACCAGGCCTAGCATCACCAAAGGCCCCTCCTAATCCTGGAGGAGGGATTGGTGGCCCAAAGGCATTTGATCCACCAAAATTACCAGGAAAGTTAAATGGAGGCCCATTGTCAGCTTCCTTTGATGCTACGGTCAGGAAGGCATGCTCTTCACCTCCGACACTAGGTATTCCTGCACTGGGCATTCCTGGAACAGCAGGATTACCTGGCACAGACATCTTCAATCCCTTTTTCTCTTGGGCAGGGGGATTTTTCTCAATCTCTCTCATATCTTCTAGGGTAGCTACATGAACAAAAGCTTCTCTCCCATTAAGTTTTTTACGGCATAAGCGTTCAGACTTACGTGCATCATCTTCATTTTTAAACTGAACCAAGGCCTGTCCCAGACCTTGCCCATTGTTATCAACAAGAACTTGTACAGCATTTTCATCCACTGGGATTCCTTCTAGGCACTGAAGAGCATCCATCTTGATAATGCTGAATGGAATATTTGTTATGTGGGCACAGACCCTGGCAGAGCTGACATCACCCTCTGGGTTTAGTATCATTTCCCTCTGGTCACAGCTGAAGTTCTGCGGTCTTTTTTGAATCATAGCTATCTTTTCTAGCATACCTTTCTTAGTTATTGGATGAACTTGAGTAAAGCGATTGCCCATGTACTGTTTATGATGACACAGAGCAGCCTTATAGTCAGCCTCATTTCTGAACTCTACAAAGGCTTTACCAGTTGCTTTCCCACTGGGTCCATAAGCTATATAAATGCCATCTTCCACAATATCCAGCTTTTTAAAAAAATTAATTACATGTTTGTTTTCTGCTTCAAACGGTAGCCCTTTCAAGTAAACACAAAAACCAGCTTCATGTGGTGATCTTGACCTTGATCTTTTCTACCCACAGGGCGATTTTGACCTGGGAAGTGTCTGAGCAGGGGGATGAGCTTGTCCAGAAGGTCCCATATTTTGCTTAAAAGTGATATGGCCTCCAGCAGCTACCTACTGTCTCTCTGTGGCAGGGCTAACTTCCACATAGTGTTGAATCATCAGCATTTGGATTCGTGTCAAAGTTTCAAATGTAACTTGAGGGGAGAGAAACTTAACCAATCCATTCCCATTATTTCAACCTACATGATCTTTCAACAAATGCACTGCATCAACGCGGAGCCCACGGAAAAAAATCTGACATCATTTTCCATTGCAGAGAAGGGCATTCCATGCACTCTGACATACAGATCATCAGGGTTCATGGGAAGTGGCTTCACACTGCTCTGAGAGTTCATCTGGATAGGGTTAACAGGATTAAATGGACCCAGAAACATAGGGTTCAGGTTATTGTTCAAATTCATAGGTGCTCCAGAGCCATTCATTCCAGCAGGTAGAGGTGCCACAGGTGGCGGATTCAAGGGTGGCATACCCGACATGGGCGGCAGTGGGGTCATGGGTGGCACGGAAGGAACTGGGGGAATCGAGGGCACAGGAGGCAATGTAAGTACTGGAGGAGGAACTGGAATTGGGAGAATGGATGGCATTGGTGGCAGAGATGGCATCACTGGAATTGGAGGAATTGGTGGCAGTGGGACTGTGTTCATTGGAGAGGCTGTGCTTGGAACAGTTGAGCTAAACGTCGGGCTCCCAAAGGAAGCCCCCATATTTGGAGGAGCTGTTCCTATGCTGGCTGTGGAAAATGTCTGTACGTTTTTGTTGCTTTCATGAACAGAAGTGGTGGCAGTAACTATACTGGGCGAAGGACTGTTAAAAGTTGGATACTGTCGTAGGCAAGTTTACCCTGCCACTCATTCCTGAGCTAGGTGGTGGTCCTGATCTACTGGCATTTGCTGGTGGTATATCTAAGTTGGCAGTTTCAAAACGCCTACGACTCAGTTCAATCATATTCTGCATTTCCGTTTTACTATGCAACAATAGTGTTACTTTTGACCCTTTAATTGTACCACCTGCACGCATCGTACCAAGCCTTGCATCTTCATCAGTGGCAAAAACGATGAAAGCCTCACCCAGTTCATCCCCTACAATATGCATGCCCCCATCAGGAATGGTCAATCCAGAGAAGTGGCGAATGTCCATGGTCCCCGCCACAATTGGGCGACCTTGCAAACGGATGACCACAGCCAGGCTGCGCTGAAACCACACAGGCCTGATAAAACAAGAGATGTGTTTTCTTAACAAGAAGTAGAAGCCAAGTCAATCCTGTGGGCAACCAATTAAAATCAACTTTTAGACAGGGAAAGCTGCGCGGCACCAGAACCCAGACCTGGAATTACCCCCCGCGCGCCGCCCCGCGGCCGACAGCCCCAGCCCCAACGGCTGCCCAGAGCCCACCGCAGCCACCACCTCCTTCGCAGCTTCACGAAAATCCTTGTAAACTGTTATAAAAGTGACTTTGCTACGAGAGACAGGTTAGGGAACAATTTTTTTTTTTCCTGTCTGTTAATTGTTTATTAGTGTGTACCAGTTGTACAGGAAAGTCGATTTTGGAGGGTATCATGGGTTCAGTCACTGTCGTACGATCATCTCTGTATCTTCCTTTAAAATTGCCAAACTTGTGCATTTACTCCAGCTGAACCCTGGGGTTTTGGGTAAAGTCACTGACTGTGATCATACCATCAGGACCAGTTACTTCCTGTTGAGTGTAGCTTAGCATCCGGCTGAAGTGTGATGCTGAGGTCTGCGCATCCAGTTCAGCAGTACACGGGTAGAGAAATTAGAACGTGCTGAAAGGTATCGGGGCGGCCCCCCATCGTGCTCACATAAGACCTCACACAGTGTCCTGAGAGTTTCGGTGATGGTAACTCCCAGAGCGCTGGAAGCAAGGGCTAAGAACTTTAGCCACTAAATCTCCTCCGTGAAGCAACCCGCGTTCATCACAATAGTAAACATCTTTTGGTAGATTCGGCGCCTTCCACATCGGGGTCAGCTCATCTGCATGGAAGATCAGTCTGCCCGCAACCCGAGAATGCAGGGTCTTTGACAGCTCAGGCCTTAGTCCCGCCCCGTTACACGGACCGACTTGCTCAGGCTGCTCCCTTGCCGGGTAACTCTCTCCACCGCACAGGGCCTCAAAATAGCCAGCTGCGAACCGGAGGAGGTCCTGCGGCTGCGCCAGGATGGCAGCCATCGTGAATCGCCTCCGCGTGTGGGAAAACGCCGGGGGGATGGTTGTTTGCTCATCTGGCTGAGCCATTGATTGGGTGATCTCAGGCTCGCTCCCAAACAGGCTGTCTGGCTTCAGGCGATACCTGGCACCTGACCTCAGGCGAGAGATGTGGGGAGAGATCCAGTGCCTCCCACCCTTGGCAGAAGGAGACCAGTAGAAGCTAGGCGGGGAGGCCAACAGCCGCTGGGGGAACAGCAACGGCGGGGCACGACCGCCGTTAGCATTAGGACCGTGAACGCTCCGCCTCCGCCAGCTTGGAGGTGACGCTGATGCTGCCAATCTGCACACAGCTTGAAAAGCAACATCTGAGACGTGACCCAGCTCCCCCTCTGCCTGACCCTGGGAGAGGAGAAGGAACTCAGCAGATAATGGGATCTTGCTTGAATTTGAGGTGATTTCAGTTAAACTTGAACAAAATGAGACTTTGAGGCAAGTGCCAACTCATGGAGCAGGTCTTCATTCATCCTGGATAAAGCTATTTAGTAGATGTTGAGAAATTCTTTTTACAAAAGGAATTAAGGGAGGAACGAGACAAATCTTCCTTACAGAGAAATCTAAATAAAGTAAGTCAATGCAACCCCGTCCAGGAGGTGGAGCTTAATATCTCTTTTCTTTCCTCCCTATATAAGAAGAGGAGAAGAAAAATAGTTCTATGATGGAGAGATCTGGCAGCTGCCACCTTAGCCAAGTGATCAAGGTCAACACTATCTGTGAGGTAGGAGTCTCAGGTCTTCTTCCTGGGAACCATCACCTCAGGATCCTCATGTGAAAAGCATCAGACTGACAATAGGTGGACATCCTGCAGAAAACCTGATGGGTACTCCTCAGAAGTTAAGGCCATGACACAGGGAGAGATGGAAGGAAGCTTTGACCTGAGAAGACTGTAAGAAAAGAACAATGTAGAATCCCAGAGAAGATCACGTAACAGAAAGACACAGCTGTAAAGTTGTGAAATCTGACTAAGGTCCAGGGTTACCAGTAAGGTACTCAGATCTTTCTTACTTTTGATGAATTCCTGCGGTATTGGAAGATGCTCGATTTAAAGTGTGAGCTATATGGAAACTCTTTGGGATGCTTTTATAAATCTAAAATTTTCTAAAACTTTGAATAATTAGCCTTTGAATAATTAGTATAACACTGGGAAGCCATACTGTACCAAGGGGGACCTTATGAGACTATCTAAAATGACAGGAAGGAATTATTGTATCACTGACATTGTTTTATATTTTACTATCTCCTACCAACTCTTCTCCAAAATAATTCTGTGCTAATCCATTGCATCTGGTGGGAAGATGCAGTGTACTTGACTGCCCCAGGTATGGTCAATGAGAACGTACTTTCTGTGAAGAATCTTAAAACAATAAAAATCGAATCAATAGCTGAATCAGTCAAGTGGAAGAAAGGATATCAGAGACTGAGGATTAAAAGTAAAGCATGAAGGCAAGATTAGAGAAAAAAGAATAAAGAGAAACAAACAAAGCCTCTAAGAAATATGGCACTATGTGAAAAGACCAAACCTACATTTGATTGGTGTACCTGAAAGTGATGGAGAGAATGGAACCAAGTTAAAATACTCTTCAGGATATTACCCAGGAGAACTTCCCCAACCTAGCAAGGCAGGTCAACATTCAAATTCAAAAAATACAGAGAACACCACAAAGATACTCCTCAAGAAGAACAACCCCAAGACACATAATTGTCAGATTCACCAAGGTGGAAATGAATGAAAAAATGTAAGGGCAGCCAGAGACAAAGGTCAGGTTACCAACCAAGGGAAGCCTATCAGACTAACAGCAGAGCTCTCTGCAGAAACCCTACAAGTCAGAAGAGAGTGGGGGCCTATATTCAACATTCTTAGAAGAATTTTCAACCCAGCATTTCATATCCAGCCAAACTAAGCTTCATAAGTGAAGGAGAAATAAAATCCTTTACAGACAAGAAAATGCTGAGATTTTGTGATGATCAGACCTGCCTTACAGGAGCTCCTGAAGAAAGCACTAAATATGGAAAGGAAAAACTGGCCACTGCCAATCACATACCAAATTGTAAAGACCATTGACACTATGAAGAAACTGCATCAACTAATGGTCACAATAACCAGCTAGCACGATGATATCAGACTCAGATTCACATATAATATTAACCTTAAATTTAAATGGGCTAAATGCCCCAGTTACAAGACACAGACTGGCAAATTGGATAAAGAGTCAAGACGCATCATGTGCTGCATTCAGGAGACCCATCTCATGTGCAAGGACACACATAGGCTTAAAATAAAGGGATGGAGGAAGATTTAACAAGAAAATGGAAAAAAAAAGCAGGGGTTGCAATCATAGTTTCTGATAAAACAGACTTTAAACCAGCAAAGATCAAAAAAGACAAAGAAGGGCATTAAATAATGGTAAAGGGATCAGCGCAACAAGACCTTAGCATCTTAAATATACATGCACCCAATACCTGAGAACACAGATTCACAAAGCAAGTTCTTAGGGACCTACAAAGAAACTTAGACTCCCACACAATAATACTGGGAGACTACTGAGTACCCGCTCAGCCAGGAGACTCCCACCCAGGTGGTGCTGAAAGTGACGAGAGGCAGACACTCAGATTGAATAACGAAGTGGGTCTGTCGGGGTACCAGCAGCCTATCGAGCTGAGACTCTCAGGGGCTGACAGCATCCCAGGCTGAAGGCCCCAAGTAGACTCTGACCCATGTATTTATTCTCTTAACAGGTGATCATTATTAATAAACAGGTGTTCTGTATTTACTTAACTCAAAAATAGTCCAAGTAGGCAGCTGTTACTCACTTACCACTAATTACAAACTAGAAGATGGTCTCCACAAGGGAGCCATAGGGGCAGGGTAAACTTACTGTTTCTCAACATCCTCCCCCTTTTTTGTTTTAACAAAGCTAGGTAAGCCAGCACTGCTCTATCCTGGTGAACCATTTCTCAGAGAATTCTGGATCTACACCTGCAGACTTCACAGAAACAAAACAGATCAATAACATAATCACAACAGCAATCAGATCCTCCGAGTGTTTTCATCCCAATTTTAGCACGGCAATCCATCAGCAGCTCTCCCAAACACCTCAAAGTCTGACTAACTGCCTACTCTTACATTTATTCCTTAAGGAATTGGGACCCAGAAATCTTTTGGGAAATGGGGCAAAGGTCATTCTTCTGTAAATACTTCCGGCTGAAAAGGGGCATCGAGGGTCTTCTGGGTCCCCTCTCCTTGCTTGCTGTCTAAAGACATTTCCAGGTGATTTTTTTTCTCTCCTGATTATGTTCAGTCTCATTACACCTTTAGAATTAATGAAGTCTATCTGCAACTTTCCCACCACCACAAGACATGGGAGGTTTAACACACTTCTGAATCTAAAGAGCTTTTATTTCTTCTAAACTTCTAATGAATGTAGGGTCCAGCCCTACAGGGTCCTGTAAGCCCCTCCCTGCTGGTGTGGAGACAAGAAACTGAAAATAAAAACACAAGACAGAGATAGAGAAAAGAATTTGGGCCCAGGGGTCCACTGCCAACCAAAATGCAGAGTCTGGCAGTGGCCCTGAGTGCCTGGACACTCTGACTTTTATTGAGAACAAAACAGGGGGAAGGGTAAGTAGGGTGAAGTAATGGTGGTCAGTGATAGGGTCAGGTAAATCACGTGTCATGGAGACAGTGGCTCGGGATTTTCAAGAGGCCGAGGTGAGGAAAAAACTTAAGGCATGAGCACTTTTTTCAAACTTGTCAAGAAATAACAAGGTCACTAAGATTTATGTTACTAATTCTTATCTTTTGAGAGAGGAACCAGGTGCAGAAACAGAACACAAAAGTAGACAGGGAACGTGACTACTGAAGCGCAGCATCACGTAGAGACAGTTAAGCCCCCGGATGCCTGCGGGCCTCCCT